GTTTCATTCAGCACTTAACCATTCTGATCCTCTTAGCCATTCTAACCTCTTAACTATTCTGAACTAAATCATTCAGCAACTGCCAAACAGCCCCTGAAACTTTTAACATTTTTATGCATTAGAAGGTAACCGAAGATATGTGAAAGTAACTGAAAGTGACTAAAGCTGAAGGTGACGATGATATGGGTTTTTGGTGAGCCACTGGATGAAGGTTCATTTGTGAGCCATCAGATAAACGTAGACAAACATCTGTTAGAGCCATTAGATAAAAAAAAGGGTCGTCCAAAAACTCATAAATATTCTCATTAAAGATTGTTCTCTTATAATCCCAACTCTATGCACATATAACTTGCATGCTATTTTTAATAAAATGTCAGATATCATGATTACCAGGAAGAACACTGGCTTGCAATTTGCATCCTCGATTTCATATCCATACTGTCATCGACAATCAAAAACAATCGCAAGCCAATACCATCAAAATCGCAGATTGAATCGAACCAACCACTGACACAACGATCTTCTATCCAACTCACCATTTCCGTTTTAAACAACCCCACCCGAATTGAAACCGGAGACCCACGTGCGATCACAATCATTATAAAAAGATCGTACCCTCAAGATGCATTCCAAGAGCCACATCAACACTCCATACATGCTTGCGTTGGTTACAGTAGCATGTTGATCTTTTAATATATAATGACATCGATGCCAATTTTATCATAAGATATTACAAGATCAGCTGGTTAGAAACTTGTTACAATGATTGAGTAACCATACTTCAAGTTCGCCGGTCTTAACTAAATAACAAAGGAAAAAACCCTTCGTTACACTGAATAACAACTACATCAAACTTTGTTGCATTTTGACGATACATTTTTCCGTTACATTTACATGGAAAATGTTTGTTGAGTGATAAACTCAAAAGTCATTTGTGTAAAAAAAAAAAAAAACAAGGGTTCATTACATCAATCCTCTTATCAAACCATTTTAGCAACTTAGAAGTAAACAAAATGATACAACTTCCATCCAAGAAAAAAAAAACCAAACCAAACCAAATCGACCCAGTAAAACCCACACGAAAGTAGGGTTTGGCAGGGGTGAAATGAACGTAGACCTAACATCTTACCAAGTAGGATAGAGCGGCTGCTTCTATGAAGACCCCCAGCTTGTGCAAGGAAAAAAATACAACCTAAAATATTGATGAGATCCACGACTACTATCTTGAACTAATCTTTTGTTCCACATGATATGATAGTCAAAGACACCATGTCGGCCAACAAAATTACCTGTCAACGCTTACTTCCACTAGCACTGTTAATGATACATAATCCAGATCCTGATATATATGTCGACAAACAATACAAATCAGCTTCACACCCGGTTCAAGAGTTTACATCATAAAACATTCAATCAAAATCAAGCGGATGTATACAACTCGCTCAGTGTTTTCAAAACAATGCATGATTTGTAAACACCAAGTCATATTTGTGAAACATAACGAAACACGAATAGATATCAAAATTCACTCGTTTTTATAATCAAATCGACTTACTTCTCAATCTTTTATCGTCAAGTTACCATCTTCCAGCTTGCATTACATGCATCAAAATCACCCATCTCCTCGGAATTCACCTCTAATTTTTCAACCATTTTCTTCTCTTTATCAACGATATCTGTGATTGGTGAATTAAAGAATCGCAAATGGAAAAGGAAGATGGTAAACTAGAATCCAGTAAATAAATACGACAAAAGGATACGCCCAGATATCTTGGACTTATCATTCAAGTCTGGGATGATTCTTGTTACAGATGCATACATTGAAAGCGTCATTCTGCAGAAATGAAAAAGAATGCGATACAATTGAAATATATGACATGTTTGACTATTAGTCAAATACCTAAAACATCCCTCAATAACGACAATATGAAAAATGAGAGCCACGTGGATCTAGAGAAGAAAATCAAATGGAAAACGAGTTACAGGAACATGGTGTTTTGCGTCAGGTTAACCTATGCATTCAGGTGACCAGCAAAAGAGTAACCTAAGGGCCCGTTTGGTTTACAGGATTTGGAATTGGATTCCATTCCAATCCCACGTTTAGTTTAAAGGAAAGTCTGGAATGTTAATGAAATCCCACAAACAATGGATTTAGAAATCCCATGGGGTAGTTGGTATTTCATGGGATTTCATAGGATTTGTTTGTATATTATAATAATGTTTTAGAATATGTTAAAGGCACTCGTTTTGTAATAATCAACTAATAGAAGGTAATACAACTGTTTTTAGAATTATTTATTTTTATAAATTATTTATAAAGAATGGAATTCAATTCCATCCCAAAATCCTAGAAACCACACACACCAAAGATTCCAAATCCTTCCACGAAATCCAAATCCCTCAAAAACATTCCGTCAAACCAAAAGGGCCCTAAGAAATATCCTAGTAGCAAGATCCCTTCTAGAACAAAAATGGTTATTTAAGCACAATTTGATCAAGATAAAGATAAGTTGCACTATTAGTATATAAAACAGTTGGGTATGTTGGATTTTTTGGTATTATTTTAACGGCACCGTTTAATATTTATTTTTCTTGTACGGATGCCTTTTTAACATAAAGGTGATAATTTTTAGGGATTCATCAACTTTCTGATCTAGTTTGTCTATGGACTTACTGTGCTTTTACTTCATCTTGTTTGAGCTTCTTTAGAACCTGCCTTCTCTCTTCAATGGTACTCCTTTGCTCTTCAAGATCTTTAATTTGATTGGTTATGGCTGTGTTGATAACAATGGCAAACAATCAATAATCAAACCACCAAAGATCTTCACTAACTAAATACTTATCTAATTCAAAAAATAGAACGTTAGTACTCAGCAAAATAAGTGTCTACATTACTATTTTAGTTTGTCCCAAATAAGTGTCCACTTTCAAAGTAAATATTTACTTTCCCATTCTACCTTTCCCTTAATTATGAGATGGAGAAAATTTCTCCGTCTAAAATTAAGGGTAAATTTGTCTTTTTGTTAATTAAAAAGTGTTATAATTACATACTCCTAAAACTATGCGCCTTTTTCATTGTGGACATTTATTTTGGGATGGAGAGAGTAACTAAATACTTATCTAAGCTCCTCTTGAAGCAACGTCTCTTTTTGAAGCTCCTCATCCAATTCTTTTTGAAGCAAATCAACCTCTGCATCTGAAGCAACTTCGGCCCTTGCAGCTTCTGTTTTTTGCTTGCATAGGTCTATCTTTTTTATATAATCTGTCATGAAGAAAATATTCTAATTCATAATACCAAGACCAACTTAATTTTCAATCTAAAATTTTCAAAGAGTATGCATCTCAACCATCTAAACGTAAAATGATCAAGACAGAAAAATATCAAAAGAATACAAGGTCCAGCACATCCTGTTCTTACCCTATTAGTAGTGGTTGAGGCAGACTATAAGAAATTACTACGAGAGGGCCACAATTGTTCTGCAAATCACTAGTCTCGTTGCACACACATGTAACACTACCAAAGAATAGAAGATATTTTCAGAGACTAGGGGGCCATTTACCAAACATTTATCGAGTAAGGACCAAGAATCTTACACGGTAAGAGGCATAGCAAGGACCAAGAATATTTCCCAATAAGTGAGAAAGAAGACCTTTACCTGGTAAGCGCTTACCGGGTAAAAGACTCTTACCAACAATCCATTTTGACGGCCGAGAATGTCACCTAATAAGACAAGTGAGAGTGTTGACTCTTATCCGTAAGTGCTTACCTGGTAAGTGTTTCGTAAAAGGCCCCTAGGTATGATTGCATTTGTTAAGAGGAATTGAACATAAAGGAAGAAAAGATCAGTCAGAGAAAGCGTAGTAGTGTCAAAACACCAACACCTCCATACATGTCATCTATGGTAATAGCCTCAATTCAGTCTTTGAGAACAAATCATTCAACTTTCTTAATGTTGGTAAATTCGGAGATCATTATAAATACTACAATCATCGATATAAAGCTGGAGAACATTCAAAGATATTGTCGATTACTACCACCAGCCAGAACAAAGAGATACAGCTTGATGTCAAACGGACTAATATACCAAAATTGATATGAATCCTATAGACTGACAGTTATATTTAAACTTTGTAATCCCTAATTCTCCTAAAAATTGGATGGACTCCAGGTGCAAATAGTGGATGAGATTAACCATTATTCAAATGTTAAGTTACCCTTCTACCATGACAAAGAAGAGCGTTCTGATACTTGGAAATTAAGAGGTGGTGTTTGGAGGTGCTTTTGATTATTCCAAATGGAGGAATTAAAATTCAAATCAGTCGATTGAAGCTAAAGACAGAAAATTTTACCTTATTACATTGTCTGCTTGTGCACACACTTATTTTCCTGATTACCAGATATATTACCTATCTTAATACTTGTTTGCACAAACCTTGCATCAGGCACATGCCAGCGTCTTCACAGAAACAGCCACTCGATCCTAGCGGTGGAGGTAAGGTCTGCGTACATCCACCTCTTCCTTATCCTACTTTCGATGGGATTTACTATGTTCTTTGGTTTGGTTCACAAACAGAAAATGTTACATTTATCTCGATCAGCTTTCTTACAACTTCTCACCTTCTCCAAATCTTATCGTTTTGATGCTAAATAATCAGAAAATCAGAATTCATTTACACCTAAACCCTCAAAACTAAAAAATCAGTTTAAACAAGTCCAAACAAACCCTAAGTTTTGTTTTTGAAATGGGTTAATAGTTTAAAAAAACCAGAAAACATAGGCATTCAATCAATCTTAGTCCACGAACTCAAAAAGACTGAGTAATAGTGAGTGTGCGTGTGTATCCACAAAATCGAAATCGTTTTACCAACAATTCATCAACAGAACATTTCAAATTGAGCACGAATAAATTTAGTTGAAATGTAAACCGTTTGGTATTCAAAATATGCATCTCTTTCGTACCAGGGGAGCAGTAATAAAGCAGAAAAAAGTCCACCAAGTGAAAAAAGGTATCATTACCTTCAAGTGAGCTCTGAACTACGGCATGATCTGAACGGCAACGAGACCGGAGTGCGTCGGTTTTTTCAACGCAATGATTCAAATCGTTGATGTCTTTTTCGTCCTTTAACAACTGAACTAGATCATCGCTGTATGAAATCAGCTTGTCTACATCAATCTTTCTAGAAATTTCAGCCATTTTTGGAAGATTTCAAAGCGATCAACCTAGGGTTTCGATATAACCTTTGAAAATATGAGGTTTGCCAAGCGATCAAATACTTTTTTTTCAAAACGAAATAAAAAAAAAGTAAATTTTGTCTTTTTCCGAAAAGTAAAGTATTTTAACTTTAATCTTGTAACGTATTTTTAAAATTTTCATTTTGGTACATAAAATATAAAATTTTAAATATTTAAGTATACAGATAACTGGTTGAAGATTAATTTTATATTAAAAAATATATGTCACTAACCACGTTAGCAAATAATACCGATTTAGATACCACATCATTCGTCACATCCGCATGATAACCGGTTAATGGTTCAACTGGTTACTCGGGTACTTAAATGTTTAAAACTTTACATCTTAGGTACAAAATGGAAGTTCTGAAAGTATGTTATCCAAAATAGAAATTAAGTTAAAGTACGTTATTTTTTTATGCAATTTTCCGCATCTGAAAATCATAGATTAGATCCCTCGAACGAAATAATTACATATATTATTACAGTGGTTCATTTTTGTTATGAATTGAGTCTCTTACTCTAACACAATTAAACCAGACTCCGTCAAATCAAGGGTATTATAGTACTTTCCACTTTTTACTTATCTTTTCAACCGGTTACCTGAGTACTTGAATGTTTATAATTTTACATCTTAGGTACCAAAATGAAAGTTTTGAAAGTACGTTACATAAATAAGAAATCAAGTTAAAATACATTATTTTTCATGCAATTTACCTTATTATTTTCAGAAATCTGGTTTTCATGGAAATAGCCATCCTACCTTTTGAGACATAATATATACATACATATACGTACATGTTATTTTAATAAAATATTAGACACATAATTGTCGAAAAACAATACCGAGACGACTGTAAATCACAACGATCAAATCCTAGATAAAGTCAAACTATCGGTTTCACATTTCGTAACCATCAAAATGTATAAACCCGACAATCTTTGGTTTAACTCACGACTCTGATTTAAACAACCGAAACCCGAAACCGAAACAGAAACCGAAACCATATATGATCAAAATTGAAAATAAAAATCAAAATAATACCACACTCCATACTCTCTTGGACTGAACCCACTATCTGATTTGAGTTGGATCCATCTTACCGACACTGGCCAACTGTGGGAATCGTTCTCTTTCGTATGTTGGTGATCAAGATTCTGGATTGAAGCTCCATTGTTTCCCACTACAAGTAAATCTCTTTGATTTCATTTGGGCATTACATCAAATAACTGATCTGCAAAGTTGTATCTTTCATCTTCACTAAATCTCTGTAATTTATGTGTGTGTATACATGTAATTCCGTTGAATATTTGGTCGCATTTTCTTGATTCAGTTACAAATTGCTAATATTCTCTTCCCCCTAAAAATATTCATCGTCATTTCAGGAACTCAGTGCTTTTAGTAATTTAAAGAAACAAAGTTGACATAAAAATGTTGGGTTATTTGCTTTAGATCATTTCGAATTGGCTATCTGAAAGAAACCCGAAGGGATTCGAAGTGCCCATGGCTGCATCTGACTAGGTTTGTTCATCACTGTGCTGCCACATTATTACATCCAGTAAGGTTTTAGGGTTCTTACATTGTTTATGGGTAATTTTAAGCTTTTTCTTTGATCACTTTGAGAAATATGAAGCAGTTTGAATAAATTAGTTTTCCATATGTGGCTATGTTAATCTCTTAATTCATTATTGATTTGATTCAATTGGAAAGATCAATTAGGGGTTGTTTGGTTCGTTTTGCATTAAGTCCTGTTCTGTCTGTATAGCTCGGGAAGGTTTTTGTTTGTAAGGGATTTTTGATACTAGAAGCTTACAAAATAAGCCAATTTCTATATATTAAGCCACTACCAAACAATATTTTATAGCTGACATGAAGTATGTTTGATTAAAGATTCACTATATTTGTCTAAAACCTAATTCCTTCAATCCGTCTTTGTTGACTTAGGTTTTAGGGTTTGAAAGCATTCAAGAGATTTGATCATGGATAGCCATTTGAAGACATTGTTCGCAAGATATCGAGAACAGTTCGGTTCTGGCCCGGGACTTGGTCCTGGATCAGGAACTTGTTTGATGAATGTCGAAAACATCACCCATTCTTTCATCAAGTCTCTTTATAAAGCTGCAGCTGCTCTTTATAGAACCGATCCATGGAAACGATTGCGCCCGGATCATCTTTTTGGTCTTAGAGTCGGGAAAGATTCAGATTGGACCGGAAAGAAACAGCCTTTTCCTTGTATTCAGTTCATCGGTGGGGATGGTGGGGATCTGGCATTATACATGTTTAGATCAGAGAATGATGCAAAAAAGATGTTGGGTACTAGAGAAACTATTCGTGTTCCGAGTGTTGAGCTAATGAGGGCAACATACGAGCTTGAATCATTGATGTTTCTTTCCCACAAGAAAATGATCAAATCTTTATCGTTGGAGAGTTCTGGCGCTGATCGTTTCCCTGTTCTTGATGTTTGCCGTTGCAATTCATCTGGTGAGCTTCAATGTAGAAATCCCACGATCGAAGAGCTTAGATTCATGTATGGAGTTATGAAAACTGTTTCTTTAGTGCACCCTTTGCTTCAGCAAGATCAAGACAGTCCGAAATGGTCAAAATTCATTCACTTTGAACCGTTCATTGAAACCGTTGATGTTCAGTGGCCTGCTGAAATGTCGAAGGGTAATGATCTTGTTGCTGTTACAGTATCACACCCACCTGGTCAAGGTTATACGGAAAAAGTGAACTCAAGTGCCGGGTCAACCCCTACTAAACATTCCGAATTCGCAAATGAGGAGACTTTTTTCGATGTGAGGTTGACAGGCAGTTTAAGACAGTGTGTTCGATGCGAGAAAGAAGTTTCCGGCGAACATATAACGTATTGTGACCATTGTCACGGTATAATCTATTGTGGTTCGCTCTGCCAAAAGCAACATTGGAAGGAATCTCATAAAGGCGATTGCGGGCTCTATAAAGCCATGATGGAAAGAGAAGACGAGCTAGCGATTAACATCTTCACTTTCCCGTGTAACAATGAACATCCCTGCAAATGGCTCGAAACGCTCGGAAACGGTGTCCATCGAAAGGGTATGTGGAGGAGAAAATGCCCGTGTTATTCTCACTGTCCTTTCGGTTTACTCCCCACAACTGACAAACTTTCGGATTCTTGGGGAGGTTTACATGACGATGAATATCCACACGACTCGCTTTTGAATCATCCAAGAAACGAGATTTCGAACTCAAACCCATTCCTAATCTCCGGCTGGCCGGAGTACTACAACCTCCGATCACTGCCATTATCAAGCCCTGTTGCCGATATCCTTTCACACCCTTTAACAGTTTATTACATACTAACTTCAATAAGTATCACTTCCAGGAATCTGTTACTCAAAGGTAAAGAAGTTATTCTTCATTACATTGGGCCCGAAGATGAACTAGATTGGATGCCAGCATTCACGGAGATAAGTCATATACTCAACGGGATGGGAAACGTTCAAATCGTGATGGTCGGGCCCGGAGTTCCGACAAATTTGTCCGGAACAACTTCGGGAATTTGGAGCAGAGTGCGTGTGAACATCGTAAGGGGGATTTACCAAGAGGAAGCATCATTCTTGCCTGTGCCCCATTTGGTTATCAGTTTGAATTGTGGATTTGAGAGTTATTCTAGTTGGATTGGAGCTCTTGAGTTGATAAAATTGAAGGGAATACCAGCATTCTTCACTGATCGATCTGAAACATCGTGCGGAAAGGCGAAACAAGTTCTTCGTAGTGTTGGATTGCAGATTACCCATCCTGTTACGCCCAATCCTTTCCGTTCTCCGGTGAGGAATTATGGTTTATCTACTGATCTTCCTTCCTATAGCAATGGTTTTGTGTTTGGAGCCAATACATAAAACTGAAGTCACAGAAGAGCATATATCTTTAATTCAAGATTCAGGTATGCCACTTCATCTAGTTTCTTGTACCAGTTATTCCTCCTTATATACAGTATGATGTTTATTTTTAAGGGTCTGTTTGGTTGGTTTTCCATTAAGTCATGTAAGTATAAAGTGGTTTGTGCAATAAATCCATAAGAGATTATTTATAAAATAGATCCATTGAGCCCTGTATTGGTTGTAGAATAAATTCCTATAAGTATGAAACCCATATGAGATATTTGCTTGAAGAGAATCTTTTGGTTTAGAAAATATGGCTCGAGGAAACATATATGCAGCACTTCACAAAGTTAGCCCATGCGTATTCCCCAGATACCGTCATTGCTTGGATTAATCTGTCTTTATAGATTGAGAGGGTTTTTTCATAGATGGAAACATTGTGTTCTTTAATTGTGAGGACAGGTTGGGAGAAAAACTTGGTTTCTGCATAAAGTTCCCACTGGAAGCTTACTGAATAAGCCACTTTATATATCATTAAGTCGTTACAAAACAGTTATATATAGCTAATGGAATAAGTTGTGAATCCCATTAAGCTCATAAGCCGTTAACAAACATACCCTTATGTCCTTCCTTTTCTCATTATTGATCCATGTTTTGGGGTCGTTTGCCAACTCAAATTTGGTAAGTGCTAACCGAGAAGTGGCTGTTTGGCTGGTTTTCCATCAAATCCTGTATGGGTAAATATGTTTGTGTGGATTAATCTGTATAGATTGAGAAGGTTTTTGTTCGGGGGGTTGTTTTATCGAAAAACCCCTTTTTGGTAAGCCATAAACTAGCTTATAACCAACTTTTTTGAAATGTTGCTTAAAGTAGCGTTTCAATAAGCTCGAGGGGTTTTTTCCACTTTTTCCCAATTATGCCACTTTTTCTTCCACATTTTTTCCAATTTAACTTGGTTTGTTACGCAAAGGTGAAGTAGGCAGGTAAAAGAATTAAGCAACGTTTTAGAGTTTTAGTTTGGCATGATAGTTTACTAATATTTTCCCATCTCCCTTATTTTTATTCCACCTATTTTGAAGGGACAAAAAATTGCATTTTTCTCCAACTCAGTTCGCTCATGCTCATGTTCCTGTCTAAAGTTGCGCCGCACATGGCACAAGTTTTTATTTTGTTCTCCGTAATGTTGATGTCTCTGCGTCCCGCTTACCAAACGCACCCTAACCAATGCACCAAATACTACTAGAGGATACCAAAAACCTTTTGGTGATTTCTTCTTATTATTGGAATTAGATGATCTTATATACATTTCTGAGCATGCTATGGTGCATGTATATGTACACTCTACAAGATGATCAACTTGGCTTGACAAAAATCTTGGTGAACCTGTAGGCCTAAATCAAGCCAAGCCAAGCCAAGCCAAGCCAACTCGTTTGACTAGTCGAACCGAGCCTACATGAAACGATTGGTCTATGTTCTACTCTTTTAAAACATTAGCCTTCTTTCGAGAACTTCTAATTGTAATCTTTGCAAAAGTTTGTAATTTCAGTTTAAGGGTTTAATTGTTGGTTTAATGTCTATATTTAGAATACAAAATGCATCATCTACGTACAAATTCGTATATTCCTAATGTTGGACGGTATCCCGACTCAAGTTTATCAAGTATGAATGTTATACTTTTTATAGAATTCAGAGAAACAATAACAAGAATATTTCTAGTTTCATATTCCCTGGAGTGAAGGTTCACTAATAGATGTAGGGAGAAGTAATTCGACTAGATAATCAACCGATTAAGACCTTCTAGGTATTGTTTACGAACATATTTTAATAAGAACAAAGTGAAAGCGTAAAAGCAAAGCCATTCCAACATTTCTAATAAGTTCAAAAAATAAGCTCGGTGTTGAGGAAGACATAATGGTGTTTAAAGTGGCCTTACAACCTCCAGAAAAAATATTTAGTGTGTAAGATTTATTATTTAATATTTAGGGTTTAGGATCAGGTTCTTGTAATAACCCCAAAGAATTCAAGAATTTGTATATTCATTGATGCATATACACTATCAAAAAAATATGTATCTCGTCAATGGATATATTCATCAATGCATATCTACTAAGCTTGCAAGTATATATGCATTGACGCATACTTCACTAAAATTCATTAACGTATATACATCAGTGAATCAAATGATTAGAGGTAAGTTCATACGAGAATAGTACTTATTTAAAAAAAATAAGAAAATAGCCAAATCACGTATAAAATGACGTGATTTTACATTAACGGCTACAAAAGTGTGCGGACGACCCTATGGCTGCATCTTAATGATTATACAGGTTCTTAGCATCTCAAATTTTTTGTGGTTCTCAACTACCCTTTAGGGTTCACTATATAAGATTTAGCTTATCAAACTTTGACATTAGATGGTCAAGGATAAGCATAACATTTTTTTTATTAACCTGGATATCCAATCTGCTATGCGAGTCGACTAATCTCAGGGCGACCATCTGCTTTGCAGATAGCCTGGAGTCACCGCATTTCAACCTCCGTGGCCACAAGGGGATTTTTATTCCTCCTTGGATTTGAACCTGGAACCTCCTGGTACTTTTGAACTTTGGAGTCAAGCTCAAACCAATCAAGCACCACCCTTAGGGTGGATAAACATAACATTGTAATTGTGTTTTTATATCATAACCTTACACCTTTTGGAAATCATCTCATTTTACATAACTGCTTACATTAAAATATGTGTAAACTAATGAATTATCTGGTTGGAAATAGGAAACTGACATTTTAGTGGTTTGATGAGGATGTGATACTGTGGGTGCCCATGGACAATGAATCTTGGAGGCCATGAAATATATTGAGGGTAGATATGTCATTTCACCCACAAGAAAATATCTCATTTAGAGCCTCAAATTCTGAGAGATCAATAAAGAAGCAATATCTTGAATGGATAGGGTTTGTGTTTAATGTTTTCTCTTCTAAAAATTCCAAGACTCCAATCATTTTTGCATGTGCTTACAAACCCATCATCACCCACCACCCATTTTCTTGCTTTTATAATCAGTCTCAAACCATCCAACCATCTCCCTCTTCATTCTTCCCTTTTGATTCTTTCTCTTGGTCTCAATTCTCATATCTTGGTTCTTTGCCAAGAAACCTTCTTTTCTGCAAAAGAGGAGGAAGAAAAATGGAGTTCTCAACATTCCACCCTTCTTGGCACTCTTTCTTCACCTCCCCTCTCCTCTTTCCCTACCCCTTTATCCCGGAAAACTACGTTCATTGGACCGAAACCCCCGAATCCCACATTTATTCGGCCGACATCCCCGGTACCTATTCGTTTTCTTGATGTTATTAGCTCTTAAAGGAATGTGCTTTATACAATCAAGATTTCTTGTTACCAAACCAAACGAACCCAGTAGAAAAGACTCAAGTCTGGGATGGGTGAAATGGACACAGACCTGACCCTTATCCTAGAGAGTGGAACGGTTGTTTTCGTAAAACCCCCGGCTTGCAAAAAGAAACCTAGCCCGAAAAGGATGAAACGAATAGAAAAGACTCGGATCAAGATTTCTTGTTACTAAAAGAAAAGGGAGTCTTGTTGCACTGTGATCACCCTTCATTTGCTTCTTTCAGCCATGTTAGAAGCTTTTCTATTAAAAAATGAAGATTTTTGTCGTTTCTTTATGTAACCATGGGTATCTGGGCCATCTTGCTCTCATCTTGACAAAACCCACAAGACCATTAAGTTTTCTTTTTAGTAAATTACGGTTTTCGTTCCTGTGCTTTGTTAAAAATTGTGATTTTCGTTCTTATCATTTACAATTTATTTTTGTTTTGGTGTCTATGGTTTACAATTTCTTACTATTGTGGTCCTTGTAGGAATTAGTCCATGGACGAAAATCGCAGTTTATAAACTACAGGGATGAAAATCGTAATTTTTAACAAACCTCAAGAACGAAAAACATAATTTACTCTTCTTTTTTCTGGAAGGGTGTCCTAGACTAATGGACTATGCCTAAACTAATCCCGGTAAATTGCGACCGTAAGACATCAGCCCTGATAAACTTGGTGGTCGTAATTGTTGTGGACGCTTAGAATTGAACCCAAGGGCAGATGGGATATTCCACCACATCCCCTGGACCTCAACCACTGTGCTACAACCCTTATGGTTATAAGACCCATGAGCTAATAGCCGGGAAAATCGCTAGTGACCCTGAGCAACCCTCTCGGGGCCCGGTCTTTTGTGAGTTGAACTAGTTTCGAGTTTCAAGATTTCTTATTAAAAATCGGTTAATTTTGGATTTCAGGTGTGAGGAAAGAGGATATCTGTGTGGAAGTTGAGGACTCGAGGTACCTTATTATTCGTACCGAATCAGCCGATGATACAGTGACAACCGCCGGTGGTCGGACTTTTATGAAAAAGTTCAGGCTGCCCGATACCATTGATGTCAACGGGATTTCTGCTTGTTACGAGAATGGTGTTCTGACGGTTACTGTGCCACGGCTTTTTGTTCGAAGGGGTTTCTATATCGAGCCAGCCGATCTGTCGGCGGTCCAAACCGAAGTTCTCGCTCGGGCTGCCTGAATCGATGTCCGGAAGCTTATTACACCATAAGATATTTGGTATTTGATTTGATAGTTTCAAGGCTTATTTGGATTCAAAAATAGTGTAAAACATTGTTTTTGGAGGAATATGTTTTCAAGATTTTGTGGTTTACAAAATACTCCTTAGATGTAGAGTTTATATAATAATGTTATCAAATAAACATAAGGAAAATGTAAGAATATTGATGCAATATAATATAATATATGAATGCAAATGAATGTAAGTAGGGGGTTTGTTTGTTTGTTAGCAGCTTAACGAATTTAATCACAATTTATTTGGACAATTATATATGATTGTTCGGTAGTGGCTTAATGATAGAAAGTGACTTATTCTGTAAGCTTCTGGGGGAGCTTTATACAGAAAGTCAAAAAAAATCAAACTTATCTTTCCCGTTAAAAGAACACGTTTATTCCATATATGAAAAACTTATAAAAATATTACATTTTTTTAATTAACTAAATGACAATTTTACCCTTAACGATTATTACATTATTAAGGGTAGAATGAGAAAGTAAACATTTATTTTTCAAAATATAACTTATTTTGAAACAAACTAAAATAAAAATGTAGATACTTATTTTGAGACGGGGGAGTGCCAGTTAGGATAAGTTAGAAAAGGCTCAATCCCGGTTACTAAAAGCCCAACGAATTATGTTTTTTCTGAAGTTGGATCGGTTATCAGGTACCGGTAAGAATGTTTGGTCCAAGAACGGTTACCGTTTTTTCTGTCTTATTCACCAAACAAGTCATGATCCATTTTTGGTTTTTTTGGACAATTGTAGGTGTTCAGACCAACTTGTGCACATTTCGACTAATCCTACTAAACCCTGAATTTAACAGTCAGACAAACTCCAATGGTCTCAAAAGGACTCGAATTGGTGACCACCAAGAGCATACCCAAGATCTTAACAATTAAGCTACGTTACCCTTAAAAAGGTTACCATTTTGTCCTTTTTCTCGAATACCTAAAACATAAAAATCAAGTTAAAAGCACCCTATCTTAGGGGTTGTTTGTTTACCTCTTAATAGTTTCATTAAGAGGCAGACTCTGAATCGTTAAAAAGTGAATCTTGTTTGGCAAAAAACGAGTTTACCTGTTAATGGTTCCAAAACCCTCTAAATGATTTTGTATCATAGGCCTCCCTTAACCATTCAGCGCCTTAATTTTATTCTAAACAGTTACCAAACAATTATATTTCATTTTGAACTATATCATGAGAGCCTCTTAATCATTCTGACCACTTAATCATTATGCACCAAATCATTCAGCAACTGTCAAACAGTCCCCTTAGTGACCTGTTACGAAACCGATTATAAACAGTTACAGCTGCTATGATTATTGGACAAAGACAAGTTATAGAGCTTAACGAGTTAACTACAACAATATATATATATATGGATCATCGTTCACAAAACATAAACCGTTTATCATTAAACAAACTTTTCAGACGTAACATTTTAACGAACAATTTGTTCAGAAATCTCTAACCTTCGATCCTCTAATCAACACAACAAATTCTATGTTCATGAAACTAGATTTCTTGCAAGAAAACAAGACTTCTAGAAACTAAAAACAACAAAAACCACGAGAACTCCGAGTTGGAGTATATCTTCTTAACCGTTCGTTATTAGTTTCAAGATTTGAGCGGCTTCTTTTAACCTTCGGTCCATCATCGCTAGATTTCGTGGATTCCTGCACGTAAGAAATGTTCGAATGGTTACAAGAAAACGAAAATAAAAAGCTAATATTTTTTTGATTAAAAGACCGGTCTTTAAAATTGTGGGAGTCTCACAATGACGCAAAAAGCTAATCTTTTCTCCTTAATATGTGACGGATTCCCATTTTCTCGTCAAGGGCTCTTTTGGAACATTATCTATTCCACATATTCTCACTAGAGATGGGAAAAATTACCCGTGGGGACAAGAACGGGATTATTTTAATACCCGAAATGAATCAGGATGGCATTACCGCCCCTAATCCGACCTGGATTAAAGTTTTTATTTTATTAAATATATGTTTATAGTGTGTATAAATATGTATATATATATATATATGTATATATATATGTATGTCGGGTTGGATTCCAGTGAGAAGAGTTAAGGTAAGAAGAGATCTCTACTCTTAGATGCACATTAAGATGAGATGCACCGGATCAATCCCCTGCATCAAGCACAACTCATGGGTGGGTTTGAGATTAAAGGTGATCAAGGGTCCAGATCCTTCTTATACTTCTCATGTTATTCTCCTTATACGATCCTTGCTCTATATATGTATGGATACATTTATTATTAAATATAAAATCTATTTTGATTTTTATTATTCTCCTTTTCGTTGTGTTTTACTAAAGTTGGGTACCCAAACCCGCCTTCACTTGAGTCCGTCAAGGGATTAGTCGGGGCCAAGACTCTGGTTTAAACAAGGGTCGGGGATGAGAGATGCATTACACGCCCCATTCTCATCCCTAATTCTCACATGGTATCAGAGTCATGGTCTATCACTTTATCTCTTTAGGGACTCGACACTCTAGGACAACTTGTACCTGTCTAGCCTTCATTAGAGGGGGCATGTAGGCCCCCCTACTTGCCCCTAGGAGCATCGATAAAGGTGAGAGCTTTTTCACTGAACTTTTTCAAAGAAGTGGGACCCACATTAAAAAAAACCACATTGAGCTTATGTGGCCAATAAGTTTCCAAAAAAAACATCCATTTGTGAATGTTCTGAATGGCTCTTTTGAACAGTAATCTGACAGAGTTCCACATATTCTCAGTAGATTCAAATTACTCTTACCTCTTCTCGTTTCCCGCTTTCCTTTTAAGATCTTCAACAAGATTATACAATCTCTTTACCAAAGCGTGTAGATTGCGTAATCTTTCGACGCCTTTCTTGTTGGAACATATATTTCTTAGAAGATCCGCCGCAATATAATACGTGTCTTCTTTGTTTCTACGAGAAAACCCAAAGAAATACGAAAATAGCGGGAAATTAGAACAAGAACGGAATTGAATGAAGGGTAAAATGCATTAAAACGCAACGAAGTTTGTCATAATTCCTATTCATTGTAACAAATAATTATCTTTTTCTCGATCAGCGTAACAAAGTTACAAAATTTTCTTATATTAAGTGACAACCTGTCGATCTTTATACCATTTGATGACGTGGATATCTACTTTATTGTCCACTTTGCCATAACACATTTCTTAAACAGGTATACACGTCATCAAATGTAGAACATCAGCAGGTTACCGGTCAAAATGGGTACAGATTAGGAACTTCTGTAACTTTGTTGCATTTTGCCCTTGAATGAATGAGAAGTTGTCGAGAAACGTGTTGACAAACCGTATGAATTCCCAAAGAATCGTTTCACCAGATCCACGAGTGTCAATGAGGACATCAGTCAGATGAGGATATCGCGTGAGGTTTCGAAAAATAGAAATTGCGTGCCGTAGAACCTGTTGATCAACAATGCTTCGACTAATGGAACGAATTAGTCCGAGTAGCTCGTCGATGGCCCCTGCATCCACGAGCTTCTCACAGCATTTCCGAGAGTGTTTTGTAGCCATATCTGTGAAAATAATAACCGTTGTTAACCAGGTTCTCAAAATATTTACAGTTTTCACTTGAACCTGCCCCTGCAGATGCTTACCAAGTGTTGCACAAGTATGAAGAATGCCACTAACGCTCTTCATGTTTTTCAGGTCCAAAAGCGCCGCGCTAAGCCTGTTTATAATTCGCATGCCGTCGTCCACATTTGCAGCAGATTTTTGCACCCTCAACCGTATATCCGATAGCTTTCCTCTTGAATGTTTCCTCTCGATATACCCTTTCCAGTACGACTATAAACAAGAATTCATTTCACCATTTTTGCATTGCTTTCTTTGACATAATGAGTTTAAGAAAAATATATCATTTTACTCACTTGGATCAACACAATCCGATGCCTCCTCTGAGCCATTGTTTTCCTAGCAATCCACCCCCGAACCCAAGATTGAATAACGATTGCTGATTTTGTTCTTCTTTTCTGAGCGGTTTTTCTCCTGGCAATCCACCCACGAACACCCGATTGGATAATGATTGCATACGTCTTAAGTTCATGGTTATCGAAGCAATCTTTTGGAGCATCATGGTTGCAGCCTGTTCTTGCACCTTGTCGAAGACATGAGACCCCTTTGCTCCATATGATTCAACATGTTCAATGTCAGTTACATATAAATAAACATAAGTCTTGTATGGATTAATCTGTCTGCATGGATTGGAAAGGTTTTGTTTGGAAGAGTTTTTTTTTCATAGATGAAATGAACGTTTTTTTTAATTGAGGAGCAGGTTTGGAAAAAACTTATCTTTCTACATAAAGTTCCCCTTAGAAGCTCACTAAATAAGCCACAATCTATATCATTAAGCAACTACCAAACAGCCATGTATAGCTGACCGAATAAGCTATAAGCCCCATTAAGCTCATGAAGCTGTTAACGAACAGGCCCTGACACGATCCCCATTTAGAAGGTCATTAAGCTGATAACGAACAGGCCCTGACCGAATAAGCTGTGAGTTCCATTAAGCTCATTGAGCTAAAAATGATTTAGAAGGTCATGCTCCTAATTGAAAGCTCACTTAAAGTCATTTATCCAAAGGATCCCCATTTGGATAATTAGCTTAATGACCTCCAGAAGCTGGTTTTGCAAAACGCCCCTCTAGTGTATTTTTAAGTATTTGAAGGAGAGGGCTCTTTAATCGGGGGCAGACTGTTTTTAATAGGGGCAGGTCAGACGAAGGTCATTAAGCTACAAAAAGATTTAAAGATCATGCTCCTAATTGAAAACTCATTTAAGGTCATTTATCCAAAAAAACCTTCTCCAATTCATGGGTCCAATCTCCATTTCTCGACCAGTGTATTAAAAGTGTTAGGAACGAATAAGGCATACCTAAAAGCCTCTTTCTAGCAATGCAACCCCTGACGGATTGCTGGATTACAATAGTAGCATCTGTATAACAATTGAAAGCCTTGAAGCATTTAAAACGTCGGAAAGCACTTTGAATCTTTATTGCAGCCTCCTTTTGCAACACAAACTCCCTTCTCGTCAACCAAACGCGGAAAAAGCTCTGCATGCATAACATTACACACAAGTTACAATATTTATGGAGAAAGAAATACCAAGAAAAAAGGATTCTATCACAACAATTTCATTTGAAAAATGTGAGAATATTGTGTAATCTCATTAGATTACTACTCTCCAAAAGAGCCCTTCGGGAGAAAAGGGGAGATTCCAACATATATGGAAAGACGGGCACAAACTGTCCCAGAGCGTCGAGTCCCTAGAATAGACATCGGCTCAGATATCATGTGAGAATATGTGGAACCCCACTAGATTACTACTCTCCAAAAGGGCCCTTGAGGAGAGAACGCAGATTCCAACATATATGGAAAGACGGGCACAAATTGACCCAAAGTGTGGAGTGCCTAGAATGATAAACCTTGGCTCTGATACCATATGAGAATATGTAAAACCCCATTAGATTACTCTTCAAAAGAGCCCTTGAGGAGAGACCGGAGATTCCAACATAAATGGAAAGACAGTAACAAATTGTCCCAGGTTGTCGAGTCCCTAGAATGATAGATAGTTGCTCAAATACCACGTAAGAATATGTGGAACCCCATTAGATTACTACTCTCCGAAAGAGCCCTTGAGGAAAGAAGGGAGATTCCAACATATATGGAAAGACGGGCACAAATTATCCCAGAGTGCCAAGTCCCTAGAACGATAAACATTGGCTCAGATACCATGTAAAAATATGTAAAACCCCATTAGATTACTACTCTCCAAAAGAGTCCTTGAGGAGAGAACGGAGATTCCAACATACATGGAAAGATGGTCACAAATTGTCTCCGAGTGCCAAGTCCTTAAAAACCTTGGCTTTGATACATGTGAAAATATGTGGAACCCCATTAGATTACTCTCCAAGAGAGTCCTTCAAGAGAAAATGGAGATTCTAACATACATGGAAGAGAAATGATTTAATTCTAGCTATGTGGAAGTAGACCTTAGTCTGATACCATGTGAGAATATGTGGAACCCCATTAGATTACTCTTCAAAAGAGCCCTTTAAGAGAGAATAGAGATTCTAACATATATATGGAAAATAAATGATTCCAATCTAGCTGATATGGATTCCCTAGAATGATAGACCTTTGCCCTATACCATGTGAGAATTTGTGGAACCCCATTAGATTACTCTTCAAAAGAACCCTTGAGGAGAGAATAGAGATTCTAACATACATATAGCCGAGAAATGATTTAAATCTAGCTAATGTGGAGTCCCTAGAATGATAGACCTGATACCATGTGAGAGTGTGAGGAATCCAATGAGATTACTCTCCAAAAGAGCCCTTAGGGAGAGAATACAAATTCTAATATATATGCAGAGAAATGGTTCAAATCTAGCCGATGTAGGACTCCAACAGAAAGGGAAAAAAGACGAAAGAAGACATTCTAATGCATATATAAAACATCTTACTTGGATCAGCACGATGAAGCATCTATGTCTGAATGCAACCCTGCGAGCAATCCATCCTCGTGCATGTGACTGAATAGTAACCGCCGACTTAATTTCGAGTTTGTAGTGTTCAAAGTTCCTCAAACTTTTTCTAATCCGATACAACCTTTGTAGCTTCGTAACTGCTTGCTTCATTCTCAAGAAACTGTTTCTTGAAAACCATCCACGATAAAGACTTTGAATTCTTGCCGCTGCTTGCTTCTGATTCAAGAAGCTGTTTCTTGAAAACCATCCACGATAATGACTTTGAATTTTTGTTGCTGCTTGCTTCTGATTTACGAAACTTTTCCTCAATATCTTCCCACGATAATGGGTTTGAATTCTTATGGCTGCTTGCTTCTGATCCAAGAAACTCTTCCTCAATAGAAATCCACGATAGTAACTTTGAACTACTGTTATAGCTTGCTTCTTATTCAAGAAACTCTTCCTCAATATATATCCACGATAACAAGTTTGAATTTTTATTGCTGCTTGCTTCTGATTCAAGAAACTCTTCCTTAATAGCCAACAACGATAACAAGTCTGAATTAAAGTTGCTGCTGATTGCCGATGATTATGGATGGATTCATTTACATGGTTTCTCCAAGCCACTTGAATTCTTAATGCCGCCTTCATTTGAATCTCATTTGTTCTAACGTAAATGGATCTTGCTACACACCCACGAACACATTTCTGAATTATAATGGCAGCATTTGTTTGACATTTTTGGGCAGTCCAATATCTCATGGCACGTTGGATGATAACTACAGAACGCCTGAGCTTAATGAAAGCATGTCTATCAACCAAATACTTAGAAAATCTTTTCGACAGCTTCGTTCCATCTGTATACATTAAGAACTAGATTGAGAAAAACAAGAAATTTAACAAGACATGAATGAGTTCAAAATGTAATATTAGCTTAATACCATACAACGGTTCTTGAATCTTGATCATATTGAGTTTTCCTATGGCTGATGTGTTCTTCACCATTAGCCAAACCCGCATAAAAGCTTGCAGAAAAGAAACTGCCTTCTTTATTCGTGTATAATTCTGGTGTTCAACTGATCGCCTGAAATGGGATTGTATGATTTTTGCCGCCTTTTCTGAAACAGAAAAGATCAGCAGGTTATCGGTCAAAGTACAAATTAGAAAATTTTACAACTTTGTTGCATTTAGTACATCAAGAAAACATCTTTGCCCGAATAAGCACTAATAAGATCAGCATTTCTATCTTCACATCATGTTTTCACTCAACAAGCATTATTTTAAACCATCACAAATGGCCTTTTTTCCAATCAAACCATCTTTTTGGAAAATTTGCAAAACGAACAATTTTGGACAAAATGTGAAGCTTGACGGTCTTTAGTTCCACGGCAAGGTGTGACATAAGGCGGCAAATTTGTATGTCATATATATAATTCTATATACACATGTTTTCTATTTAATTAATTATATGACAATTTTACACTTAATAATAGACAAAGCAATGAATTTCTCCATCTCATAAGTAAGGTTACCATTAGAAAGTAGGCACAGTAAGTTTAAAATGATAACCTCGTTGGCTATCGCTCGATTGTTTGGCGGTAGATCTTTGTAAAACTGTGTAAACCGGTTTCACATTAGCTTTGCTGTTATGCTGAGCCATTTCTTGCCACCAAGACATGATAGCCTTAAAATTTCTCTCCTTGTCTACATCATAAGAAAATAATCAAAGTAAACAGTCTTTGGTCAATCTTGAAAACTAAAAGCAATCATCTTTAATATAAAAGAAACCATTAGAATAAAACTTGATCAACGAAAAAAACCTCTGCTGCCATGTTGACAAGTTTCATCTACGGTAAATTGCTCTTCATGATTTCCAAGGACTCGATCTCGCCTGATACATTTCCTATCTGATTTTTGACCATGACCCAAGAGTTTATGAAAATTTATCTGTTGCTGGTATACGGAAAAGAGCTTTGTCGTGTTAAAATCCTGCTTATCTCCAACGGGTCAGGTTCAGGAGAAAACTACAAAAAAAAAACTGAGGAACACCCTACTAACCATTCATATGGATGGTATGCATATGTGCATCACATGCACACTTGCATAAAAATCAAGAAACAACTTCAATTACTTGTATACACATGTGCATACCGTCCAGATGAATGGTTACCAAGATGTTCCTCAGTTTTTCATATTTTTGGGGGTTTTCCCTAGAACCTCCCTCTATCTCCAACGTATTAATGGGAAAATGGTTTGGACATTACCAAATTTCTCTTCACGGTTAGTTGGGATGAAAGAAAAACCAGCAGAATGATCACACCTCGCTCATTGCATGCACCTTTATATTCAAGTATATCACTAACTTGCAGAACCTGAACATAAAATAAGTGAATTATGACATCTAAATTTGATTAGAATGGTTATAATCTGCACGAAACCTTTCTAAGCCACGGGTTCCGTTTGGCTACTGAACTATAAATTTTTTCTATTTGGCCATTGCCTCATGAACCAACCATTTTTTCCCACTTGATCCAATCAGAAATCACAAACAGACTCACAAAGTAGAGAAATGGAAGGCAATAATGTAAAGTTCCGTTTTTTTTATCGTATAACAGTAAGCATACCTCTGGGAAATTCCCTAACAGCGTCGTCAACTTTTGTGACAACAAAAAGTTGTGCACTGCATCGACATAATCTGAAGTTGACATGATCGACACTTCGTTTGTTTCCTTTAGATCCTAAAAGTTCACAAACACACAACAAGTACAAACAACATGATCATGACAAAAATAAAGAGGAGGAACAAAACACAACATTTACATGGACATACCTTGTTAGACCTATCTTTGCAATGTTCTTTTCGGAAATAATAATCAAGCAAGCACCACATGCCTTTACCATCCATCAATGATGCAAAGTTCTCGACCATCAAATCATAATTTTCACAAATTGCCTGCATACATCGTAAACGAAACTTCACATGATGCAACTACTTCATACAAGATTTCAGATATTCTTGCCAAGAGTTTCCACAGTGACCATTGACCATTTACTCGCCTACAATGTAACCATGAAGTGAAAAAAAAGCAACTCTTAGAGAGCATTCGGTATGAGGGCAAGACTGGATTGGGCAAGACGGGATGGCAGGAGAATGAAGTAGGCAGGTGAAAATTTGTGGATGGTTTTACTTTGACATAGGTAGTTTAGTAATTTACCACTCTTGTCCCATATCCTTGATTTTTGTTCCACTTTCTTTGATGGTATAGAAAAAATGAATTTTTGTCTCACTCAGGTCTTGTCATATCCCAGTATAATGTCGTGCCAAACTTGTCATGATGTAGTAAGGTGAAAGAATTGTGGATAGTTTTACTCTAACATGGGTAGTTTAGTAATTTACCACTCTTGTCTTCCACCTATTTTGGTGGTACAAAAAAAATGGATTTTTGTCGCACTCATGTCTTGTCCTTATCCCAATGTAATGTCGTGCCAAACATGGGACAAGTTTCCCGCATACCAAACGCACCCTTAGCGACTCGAACCATTTTGAAGCACCCAAGAAATAACCAAAGATGATGCAAGTACAAGAATTAGAAAATAATATGACCTTAATCCACTCAAGAACCATATCCAAGTGACTCAAGGTGTTTGGAAGTATCTGCTAAGATCCAAAGAAAAGTTATAGCTTCAATATATATTCATATTGTGAAAGATCATATCTCGTATCATCGTATGCATCAATAATTGAGAGATTGGCCTTTCTAACCATGATACTTTGCTAGCAAACAAGAAATCACTCTTGCCAAAATGCAAAAAGGTATTGCTTTTTTGCAAAAATAAGTGATCTGGAAAAAAGAAGGGATTTTTGCATATTATTTTTACACTTACATTTCCACAATTTGTCTACAATCATTCATTCTTGCAAAATACATTTTTTTGACACTTTCCACAAGCACAACTTTTCCGTCAAATATAATGGTTCAGAAGTCAATCGCTCATTCGTTCATATTTACATATGTACAACACATACCGCTGCAGGTCCACGGATTTTGGTGATTTCCTCAGATACAAGCTTGTTGTTGACCAAAAGTGGCAACTGCAAATCAAGTACAAAAGTCCAACTAAATACAAGGAAAAATCATATTAATTTCTAAATTTATAAACTTGAATCCAGCATTAAACAACCAAATATCTCAAGACTTAGGGCATGTCTGTTAGCAGCTTAATGAGACTTAAGAGCTTATTTGGTAAGCTATAACTGACTATCTAGTAGTGGCTTAATGATATAGAAAGTGACTTATTCCGTAAGCTTCTAGGTGGGAGCTTTATGCACAAAGCCAAGTTCTTTTTCCAAATCTATCCTCCAAATTAAAAACATGCTCATTCCATCTGTGAAAAAACCCTTTCCCAATCTATACAGATAAATTAATCCACACAAACAGTTTTATCGCTACAGGACTTAATGAAAAACTAACCAAACATCCCCTAAACCACCAGTCAAGTAATACTCTGCTCCATCTCATGAAAACTACAAAACTCTCATTTATAAATTCCCCATCAAAATTGCAGCATTTCCGTTTTGGGAAATTTGCAGGTTACAATAATTTATCCATTATCATCATAACGTAAAATTGTTGTTATTATGTGGGTTCACAAGATTCCCTAACTTTGCCGCTATGGAAGGTTATTTTAGACATTTGGTAACTATGTTCCCAATCAAAGGTTGTAATCTTCATAGGACGAAAGATAATTTTCGCTAAGACTTACAGCAAGTTTGTTAACAGCTTAACGAGCTTAATGGGACTCACAGCTTATTCAGTCAGTTACACATGACTGTTTGGTAGTGTCTTAATGATATAGAAAGTGGCTTATCTGGAAAAGAACTTTATACAGAAAGCCAAGTTTTTTTCAAACCTGCTTCTCCATTAAAAAACACGCTCCTTCCATTTATAAAAAACCCTCCCAAACAAAAATCCTCCCAATCTATATAGACAGTCAGTTTTATCAGTACCGGACTTAATGGAAAAACCAACCAAACAGCTCCTTAGAAAATTTTGCATACTTAAGTAAACTGAAATGTTGACAAAAGTATAAAGATTTCAACTAAACCTGTAAGTGAACAAACATGTTCCATAGCAATGAGATTATGAGCTCCTTATCTCCATTAACAATATCTTCTGCAATAATTTCAGTTCCATCTTCATCACATAATGGAACTCCAATTTGCTTCAGATATTGTACAGAAATCTCACAATTTACCAAATTCTTCTTTCTATCATCTGATGGAACAACCACTTTCTGCTCAACAAATAATGGAATTGAGTTTAAAGCATCAACTGCTATGTGGTTAAAGAGGAATTAAATAAATTGGATGTTTTTTTTTAAATTAGAATAAGATTACCTTAAGAATAGAGGGGTCATGTTGCAAGAGTTGAATAACTCTACAAAGAAGAATTCCATCTTGAAGATCGTTAAAAAGATCAGCCACCTTGAAAACATACTTGACAAGAGGATTCTGCAAGATGTAAACACGAAACATAAGCACGACCAATATGCAAAACTTCATCACCATGGTGTGTAGAATTATAAATATATGCCAAACTCCTAATGTACACTCGAACGCAAGCTTAAAAGCCAAAATCAAATAAAAATTATAAGGTGATACTAGCTTTCATCACCCTACATTTTCATTTTATGAGTCACTTCAATATGGTGCTAGAAGAAATGAAAATATGATGGTGAGTCCATCTACTTGACATGAGGAGAATTGTGACAAAACCAAACTAACCCAGTCTTGAAAGTATGGTCTGGGGAGGGTGAGATATACGCAAACCTGACCTCTACCCCCATCAGGGCAAAACAGTTGTTTCCATGAAGACCTTGGGCTTGTTCAAGAGTGTGAGCAACAAGTGGAAGGAATAAAGACTAACATAGGGTGAAAAAAAGAAGTAAGAATAAGTGACGAGTATGTGCATTTGAAAACGTATGAAAAGGTAAGGAAGGCAAAACACACACCATGCAAGTACAGGATATGGCTAAACAACCACAAGGGTTGTGGCGTAATGGTTGAGGTCCTGGGGATGTAGTGGAATATCCCATCTGCTCAGGGTTCGATTCCATGCGTACACAACAATTGTGGCCACTGAGTTATCAAAACTGATTTTTTACGGTCATAATTTGGTTCATGCATAACCTGGGACACCCTTCCAAAAAGAAGTACGGCTAAACAACAAAATGAAAAGGCAAGTGGTGTAAGAATATAAAGTATGAGTTGCTTACCTGTTGGTAAGAAACCTTGTATCCTATAATCATTAGGTGTGCTAGAAGATTACCGACTCCATGCATGACATCCGATGATAAGAAATCTACACATCCCCAAGAATGAAAACCCAAGCAATGAGTTGTTAACATTTAAACTAGAGACAAATATGCTGAGATAAAGATTCTTCTGTTTACCTGATATAACTTCACTGCTTGATTTGATGGTAGCTCGAGGTGTGAATAAAGAAGGTGAACCCCCATCAATTCCATCTACACCATAACTAATAGGCAGGCTGCTCTGAGATTTAGCTCGATCAAGTATAAGGGCTAGCAATAAAAATTTCTTCAATATAACACTGCCTAGTTTTTCATAGTAACCTGGTCTATATAACCCATCAACCAACTTATTATAAATGTAGGCTTTTGCTAGTCCGGAATGCGAAAAGAACAATTTTTCAGCAACCATTTTCAGAAAAGAAACTTCTTGCTCAGAATCCATGTCTGTGTTTGGATTTGGCAACAAAGATTCACCACCGAATATGATGTAAAGCCCAATCCTTAGCCAAACAGGGTTATAACCCATTAGGATCTTCAAGGCCTTCTCTTTCATTCCAACATCAGTAACTATTGGACAGTGAGCTTTCATCTTTAGTCTTCCTTCGTCAATATTCTGAGATTTTTGAACAATTCAAAGGAGAAATGTGACCGTATGAAAGTAGTAATTAGCACAAGAAAATATTATATTAGTCAACTGTATGCATGAACAAATTGGCTAGATCTTAGTGAGAATTCATGATTTATTCACTATGAATGTCGTGGTAGATATTCATAATGAAAATGCATGACATTCGTAATGAAAAATGCATGATATTCATTATGAATTAGGGTTATTCATCACGAATAAAACATAACAATAGTTGGTTCCCAGTTTGTTAAAATATTTATCGGGGCAGTGAGCTTTCATCTTTAGTATTCGTTCATCAATATTCTGAATTGGTGACTGTATTAAAGTAGTAATTGGCACAAGAAAAGCTTATCTAAGTCAAGTATATGTATGAACAAATTGGCTAGATTTGAGTGATGAAAATTCATGGTTTATTCACTATGAGTGTCGTGATAGAGATTCATTATGAAAATGCATTATATTCATTATGAAAATGAATGATATTCATTATGAATCAGATGGTTATTCATCACTAATAATATACAAAATACAAATAGTTGGTTCCCATTAAAATATTTATGGTGGTCATTGAACATTCCTCAACCAACATAATCCTACGAAAAACAGCAAACAAACCTTTGATACATGAGTCATCACATCAAAAATCTCCTTGCAACTAGTGAGGCTCAAGTAAAGTGTCATTCTCTCTTTCATGTCATCCAAGCTACAAACATCCCCAAGAGAAGCCTGCAAACGCGAATAAATAGAACTCGAGAACTGGTTCTCCATTTCACCTTTATGAACCCACAATGTATCCTTCCTACGCTTTGGCCCACGCCATTCTCGATCAACCTCAACTCCACCGTGTGACACACTATCCCTTTTCGCACCCAAAAACACCACCGACGGCCCATCAGATGAATCTTCACCAGTGAATCTTGATACCTCAACTCCACAAGACCTAGAATTTAAATAATAGACTTCAAAAGACAGTTTTTATTTCAAAATAGCACAGATATACAGTAAAAAAGACATTGTTTTCTTAGAACCCTGGTCAAATGGTATATTCCACCGTATCCCAAGGACCTCAAGCACTACGCCACAACCCTTGTGGTTGGAAGGGGATTGCTTTATCGGAAGGTTGTCCCATTGCAGTCTAGACTAATCCCCGCAAATTGTGACAACAAGAAATCAGCCCTGAAAAACTCAGTGGCCAAAATGGTTGTGTACGCCTGAACTGATCCCTGGGTAGATGGGATATTCCATCACATCCGGCAGGACCTCGACCACTACGCCACAACCCTTAATTCTAGAATTTCAACTTCCAACTAAGAGAAGGAAAGTGATTCTTTTTCCGAACCTGGGGTTTTCAAATAAGAAATTGAGCCAAACAGTAAGAGACTTAGCCAACGACTTCAATGACTTCTCTTTGTTGGTTTGAGTTTTTCTTGACGATATCGATTGCTCGATTTCAATCGCCTTAAGTTTTTTAGCAGCAAAGGAACATCGAGGGCGGCGACCAACGGTAGAGTTTGATGATTTAGGAGTTCGTTTAAGAGCAGTAAAGAATTGGGAACAAGGGGATTCCACATCGAAACTAGGGTTTATTAGAAATGGGCGTTTTGGTTTTGGGGTTTTGTAATTCGAAATGTCGCGAAGTAATAAAGACGAAGAGGATGATGAATTTGGTAATGGGGAAGATGGGATTTGCTGTTTATGTTGTTGGGGTTGTTGTTTTGGTTCCATCTGAGATGGATCTTGGTTTCTTGCTTGATTTTCTTGATTTTCCGGCGAGTTTGGAAAGGTTTTTTGTTGTTTGAATTTGTGTCTGAAATTGGGGAAAACGGTGTCCGACAGTGGGAGGGAGGTAAAAAGATTTGAATTTGAAACTGGGGAAGGCGGTAACAATGGGGAAGGGATCCAAAAATGGATCAAAAATGTAACAAAGTTCGAACCACGCGTTCTTTTGTAATACAAATTAAATTTCAGGAACTGAAACCGTCATTTTTGATAAACCACAGGGACCAAAACGGTAATTATTCTTCAAATTGTAAGTAATGAGCCGTTTACCAAACATTTACCCGGTAAGCACTTACCGGAAAAATTCAATACTATTATTTATTATCGGGTAAGATTTTAATTAACAAAAACGACTTTTAAGTAAGAGTTAGATACATGAATGAAAAAAACAATGAACTGCAAACCATAGAGATGAAAACTAAAATTTCATAACTACAAGGATGAAAAATATATTTTAGTCCTTGACACTTATGATTTTGAGAGAACTTAGGGTGGCAAATTGGTACCAAACCAAACCAGCCAACATGTGTACCAGCCGTACCGATTAAATCAGTACCAATTATAATTAGTTGGCAGTATCGTACCAAGTGTTTGGATTTGGTTGGTACACGGTTTTCGATGTCGTATACCACGGTAGTACCAGGGGAAGCTTTGACGTGGGAAGACCTTACGAAGATGAAGTACACATGGAGAGTAGCATGCGAGATGCTGAGGATATACCCTCCCGGGACTTTATTATTTAAACGAATTGTGCAAGATATCGAGTATGGAGGATACATAATTCCAAAAGGATGCCAGGTACGTCAAAAAACTTGTTAACAAAAAGGTATTTGATAAAAAAAAAATATGTTCTTGAATTTACATATTGTATTTTTCAGGTGTATAAAAACATATATTTTGTATTATTACTTAACGAGTCAATGATGTAAAGAAAAATCAAATATCCCGTTACAAAAACGGCACTTTAGATTATGTGCCACAAACTTAACGTGACGTGAGATACAAGGCTTAGACCACAGAGTACCACGACGGCTGTTACGGCAAGCATTTTAGAACAGTGGTTTATTATTCTGTCAATCATGATTGATGTAAGGTTTGTGTATATCATCGATATGTTCAAAGGGAAAAAACAAAGATATCAACATTTATTCATAGTTATAGTTTGCAAATAAATAGATTTGAAAAAAAATATCAAGAGTAAACTACGGATTTGGCCTCTGAAGTTTGTGATTTGTTACGGAACTCGACCTTTATTTATATTTATTACAAAAAGCCCCCTCATTTTTATAATTTATATTGGATTTGGTCCTTCACATTAATGACCACCCAACTTATTCGTTAACTATGAGGGCAAATCAATCTTTTTAGCATTTCTCATACCACAAGACCAAATATGTAATTTATTCTAAATTATATTATATTTATAATTCATGTATTTGAACATTATATGTATAAATATTTTATATTTGTTTTTTATAAAATTATATTTTAAAGTTTATATATAATTTATATTTTATATATTTGTATTTTATAAATTATATTATATATTTTACATTTTTACTTTTATTTAAAAATAGATAAATTCTTATTAATATAGACATTACTATTTTTTTAGTAATCATATAATTAAAAAAATCAAACATAAATATTGAGATTTGAGATATAAGTAAAATATAAAATAATTATATTTCATTTATTCTAAAATAATATTATTTATAGTACAATTAACATATAGGTGCGAATCGTAATTATTGTTGAAGAAAGACCTGTGTGACACTGTCTCGGTGGTTCCTAATAGTTTATTTCATCCAAGTCAACAAATATTGACGCGTTCAAACAACTACGTCTAAGGGGTTTTCCTCTTTTAATCTGTTTTTTGATTTTTCGATTCTTTCTCCTCTATAATATATACAGATAGATTAAAAAAAGAATAAAAAATGATCAAAAAGAGGGACTTTAATGGCTGAGCCCAAAAAAATGATCAAAAGATCTTTTGATTTTCCCTCTTCTACAATAATACAAGTATTTTTTTTTGTTAAAATAAATTAAGTAATAAATTTTCTAAAAAGCTCGATTATTTAATTATTAAAAAAAATGCAATGACTTAATCATTCAACATAAAAAAAATCCGACAATTTATTCAATAATAATTTTCAAGAATTTAATAATTCAAAATGAAAAAATTCCTTTAATTTTTTGAATTTTTTTTTTATTTAAAGTCAATATAAATCGTTTCTATATCTCATCCATTAAAAAATTATTAATCATAAAAATTAACTTTTGAATCAAACTATTTGAAGTTTTTTAAAATAGTTACGATAAGACTTTAATACCAATGCATATATCAAATAAATAGTATGTAATAATAAAATTAATATATAATAATCTATACTACCTTATAAATGAGATTTAGGTAGCGTTTGTTTTTTAAGAGGTGTTGAAGTCTGAAGTCTGAATTAACTTCTGAATTTTAAGAGGTGGTGCTGAAGTCTGAAATCTGAATCAGTCAGACTGTTTGTTTTTACGTCTGAAATCTGAATCAATAAGACTGTTTGTTTTTGTAAACTGACAAACTTCTGAAATCTGAAATCTGAATCAATTCATTTCAATTAAATTTAACTGAAATATCCAATCATTTAAACCATTTGTAAACTACCATATATTTTAACACATTCAAAGATTCAATTGAAATACGTCAATTGATTCAACACACAATAGAAAACACGAATAAAGTCTCATAACAACTACAATTAATATTCATTTTGCATTAATTGTGTCGCAATTTCTTCTCTTAAACTAGCCATATATGTTTGGTCAGCGGCACTCCCATGCGAATGAATCTCTTCAGCCTCATCCTCGTCATTAGAGCTGTAAACAAACCGAACGTTCAGCGAACCGTTCGTGAACCGTTCGACGGGAAGTTCGTTTATGTTCGTTTATTTAATAAATGAATGAACATGAACAGTTTTTTTTGTTCGTTTAGTTAAACGAACATGAACAAGAGYCTCGTTCGTTCATTTATGTTCGTGAACGTTCGTTCATTTACCGTTCGTTTATATTCGTTCGTTTATGTTCGTTTATGTATTAAATTTAATGTATAATCTTTTATTTATTTACTTTGAATTCAAATAATATTTATTTATGTTCGTTTAACTTGTTCGTTTA